TTTCAATTACACATTCTTCAAAAAACTAGTACAAAAATTATAGAGCTTGTTTGGAAGAGATTAAAATCAGATTAAAATTGAAAATAAAATCGTTATTGTTTACTTTTATTAGACAAGTGGAACTCAATAACAGCTATATTTTCAATTTTAATTGGATTAAAATCTCTCTCAAACAAACTCATAATATCAAATAATGGAGGTCAAACGGGAGCTAAAATTAAAAAATATACAAATATAATAAAATATAAGAGTATGTTTGGCTAAAATTAAAATTCAATTAAAATTGAAAATATAGTTGTTATTTGATCAAACTTGTCTAATAAAATTCAACAATAACAACTAATTTTTCAATTTTAATTCGATTTTAATCTCTACTGAACACTCCATAAATCGAGATTGCTTGAGTGTTCGGAGAATTCAGAGTGGGACTATGCTCCTTAGCGCCATATTATAGGCGTGGCTCACAACCAAAGAATGCACGGAGTGAAGTTGTCCATCTTGACCCCATTTACTATTCAGGATAAGGATTCTCGATTCCAATCATTGTGAGGCGATGTGGGCCAAGTCGAAAAATTTTATCATCCCTAAAATGGAAATGAGTGACAATTTAAAGACAAGATGGAAGCAGCGATTAAGATGGTAATGCTGAGCATATAGAGAAAGAAGTTATTTGATTAAAGCGAACGAAATGCTACAATTACTTTATTATATCAATTTTACACCTTTTTTATCTCATTATTTCAAAATTTATTTTTTTCGTTCTTTTTTCAACCACTTATCCTATCTATCCTAAAAGAGCAAGTTTTTCATGGACAGGTGTCGCTGAATCTCGTCGTCAACATAAATGCTTTCTTTTTCCCCTTTTTTTTCCATACGACGTCGTATGGTTTTGTTCTTTTCTTTTCTTTCGTCCGTTTGGCTTCAACCACAACCATTTTGTTCTCGCCTTTAACCCTAGATTCTCTGCGCCGCTTCTGTCTACCACCACTCTCTGCGCTGCTTCCGTCTTCCACCAACCACTGCTACCACTTCAGTGTCATGCTTACCAACTTCGCTTTGCGACAG